TGGTGCACTGAACATGTGGTGCTAGGCCTCACACCATTGGTGCACTGAACATGTGGTGCTAGGCCTCACACAATTGGTGCACTGAACATGTGGTGCTAGGCCTCACACCATTGGTGCACTGAACATGTGGTGCTAGGCCTCACACCATTGGTGCACTGAACATGTGGTGCAAGGCCTCACACCATTGGTGCACTGAATTTGTGGTGCTAGGCCTCACACCATTGGTGCACTGAACATGTGGTGCTAGGCCTCACACCATTGGTGCACTGAACATGTGGTGCTAGGCCCACAGACCAATCAGCAATCAATAGTGTAATGTTGATCGCCATCACTTACTACTTAATCACTCCTATTCTACCTTATGGTGTAGAGGTTTGTGAGAGAGATCACCAGACTTCTCTATCAGCAGTTTTCTTTCTGCCTTTGTTCCATTCCAGTCCTCTGTCAATCAGGGACTATCCGATGTTGTCTCCCCACCGGACCTCTGGATTGCACTGGAGGTCTGGTTTCCTTGTTCTTAGCTTCCCATGGTGGCCAATTTTCTCCCAATCTGCATACATGTCCACACCATCGTATCTGTGACTGATTCATTTGAGTTTGTAAGGCCCAGAGTTTCAAGATCTTGATGTACTGATTGCAAAATGTCCTCCTTCTTGTCACTTTGGCCCGCTCCCTCAGATATGTCATTTCTGAGGTCTGAAGCTGGCTTCTGTGTGCTTCTGTCATTGCCCACAGGTTAGGACTGGCACATAGGTAGAGCTGGACACAGCCATTGTCATCCTCTTGCCAATTTCTTTTTGGCTAAGGAAACCCTCAGTTTATGGCCTGGAAAAGTCTCCCAGCTGCTACTTTTCACGTACTTAGCTATGTCTTTATGCCTCCATTTCAATTTATTACAACTCCAAGGAATGTTAACTGGCTGACCTTCTCCAATGCATACTGTCCCACCATGATCTGGTGTTTCTTCTCCTCTCTTGAGATCACCATGGTTTTAGTTTTGGAGATACTTCTAGTCATCCCATTCTTTTCAAGTTGTTCCTTCAAGACACATAGGTTGGATTTAAGGTGTGCCTCTCATTTAGCCATTAGGGCCACATCGTCTGCAAATGCCAGCTCTGATATACAAATTGGTCCCATCTTCCAGATCCCTACTGAGTACTTCTTTGTCTTCTCCTTACAGGTCTTTATGACATCATCCACAATAAGAATAAAGAGGTAAGGTGAGAGAATATCACCTTGTCTAACACTGCTAGTGGTCTTAAATTCTTCTGATTTTCTAACAATCAACATCCTACTGACCACTTTTATTTTCTATTTCCTGGCACACCATTATAAAAAGCTTCCTAAATGTAAATTTCTTTGGATCGACAGGAAAACAACGAAGACTCATCTCAGGTGTCTTTAAATATAAAAAAATATCAAATGAATAAGTAAAAACCTAATTTTAGACAGAAATAAACCTAATATGAACATCTCTAGTGCCGGATTGTGTGTGGGTGAGTGTGTGAGTGAGTGTGCTGTGTAAGTGTGCATCTGTGTGTGTAAAATTTTCAACCAGCTTCTCTTCTGATGCATTTACCCTTAAAAGGGTGGTTGACACACTGGGTTGTGGCTTACAGCTAGGCTGCGAGATAAATACCCTTCAACCCAACGCATCCAATTTCAACAAACTTGCCTTTTATGGCATGCATGTTAGGAGACAATTGGTGGTTCTCCGCCACCCCCCCCCCCCCCCCCCCCCCCCTTTAAAAAAAAAAAAACATTTTCTTCTTCAAAAGATGGTACCCTGGAACCCATACGGGAAACAACCAGCTTTGCAATGCATTTTATATAAAGCATTTTCTCTAAGCACTGGGTTGCCATCTGCTGTTCATAACAAACTTGAAGCCTTTGAAGGAAACACTACAAGCCCAGGTCTCACTGTAGCTAGTCCTTATGTTCTTTGCTGAATTAGGACCTGACTAGATCCTAATACAGAGAACTATTGCAGTGTACAGGCTATATGACTGCCTGCTAGCCCTAAAATCTAGGGTTCAAATCTGTACTGGGGAGGATTTTTAACTTCTTCAAAATTGACCTAAACTCCCAGATCGACCCAGCCAAAATGGGTCACTGATTAATAAAGGCAACCAATGTGATGTTTACCACATCACTCCAGAGTACTAATTGGTCTATAAATAATAAGGTCTAACCCTATATACCTATTGCAGCAAAAGTGTGAAAGGGTCCTTCACATTCTTTTAAATTTGTTTCTTTCTAAACTTTTATTTCATGGCTCAGAGGAGCAAAAGCCAATGTAGTAGAAAGAGTAACAGACCTCAAATCTGTTTCAATTAACATATAAAATACATAATTGGTTATGTAACTACATAAAATGTTTTCAAAAAAACACTTATCTACACAGAATGAACTACATACATCTAGATTAAAAAATAATGACTGATTATGAAAGCTATGCTAATTGTAAAAGCTATGCTAGCACATATAAACTTGGCACATTTGGCATTTAAGAGTCAGAGTCTTCCAGAGCACCCAACCCCCACATACACAAGAAACAACAACCCTGCTAGTGCAAACATTTATTACCTACAGCAACAGCTGTGGCCGCCATGGGGGAATCGGGGAAAAAATAATAGCAAAAGGTATGGTACCAGGAAGGAGGGACTGGGGCTGACTAACACATTGATGGGCACTAAAATAATGAAAAACTGTCTCTCATATCAGAGCGGATAAATAATTAGAATACTTTAAATAGCAACTACTTAAGTATAGAAAGAGTTCATGCAACAAAAGTGTGGGACGGAAGTATTTAATGACAAAAGCAGAAATAACAATAGCAATCCTTCAAGTCCAAATATTTACTACTAAAAGTTAGTTAAACTTTTATTACTTTACTAAATAAAAAAATTACTACTTTAGGTAGCAACTACTTCAGTGTAGAAAAGGTTAAAATAACTTTGTTGGACTGACGTTTATAAAAGAAACTAGCCAATGAATCCACATGTTTATTACTTTCAGCAACAACTACTTAAGACAGAAAGAGTTACAATAACAACAACATTTGATTGAAAGTTAATAACTAGAAACAAAAAGGATAAAGTCATTTCATGCTGTGTGCAAAACCTGATCTTCAGCTTGTATTCAACTTCTTTTATTTATTACATTAATAAGTAACATCGCCCTAACTCAACTTCCCTGTCACATTCTGAGAAGCTGAACGAGAAAGTGGCCTCCCAATGTCTACTGGCGGTTAGAAACCGGTGTGGTGGTTAAAAACCAGTGCTGGTTGATTTCCAAACGTAGGAGCCAGTATATGTAAAATCATTTTGCGCCATCAACTGATCGGATTCTTTGGGTCCACGGCTGTGGAGCATGAGGTTGGTGTAGAAAATAAAGCTATAATGTTCGGCCTCAATTATCCAGTGATACAATTATATTAGTGAAATGTTCTTTAAAGAACTAACATAATAAGTAAAATTATATTTAAAATAGTATTTCGTTTAGGAGAAAGAAAGGGCAATTATTTTGTACTTATTTATCATCTCAAATGTCTATATGTTAAGACAGTGTATTCTTTTTTTCCCCCCTGTTTTATTTAATATTTATATTGTATCCATCTATAATGAGAGAGGTATTCAGGTAGAAAGGCTAGGCAGATGGAGAGGGAGAATAGAAAAGAAGACAAGGAGATGGGGTGGTTAGATAGACAGCAAGGCAGGTAGGTAGACTGAGAGAGGGGATAGGTGAGCATTCACAGACTGAGAATTAATAACACTCCATATCTCAGTAAGATGTAAATACTGCAATAAGATCAAAGGACACTCCAAAACACATCCCTAAATTTGTTTTCATGACCCAGACTGGTCGACAGGAAAACAGCAATCAGGCAACTTAAATCTTCTTCAAGTTCACTGGCTGGAAACACCAGCGGAAAGTTCTAGTTGTTTGTCTACTTGTGGACTTTAGTCTTCTTTCAGGACTTGAGTTTTGAGTGCACATCCATTTTACATATATATCTGTGACTGCTAGTTCCTCGCCTCTTGGGCAGACATAAGTCGACTTTAAAGAAAGCACCTCTAATTAGTTGTAAGATTGTTGAGGGGAGAAAAAGGGGGTGGGGGGAAAAGTGGGTCTATAATGTGTCCCCGCAAAATAGGGCTCCGGAACCCATACAGGGAAGCTTAAATCAAATGGTACTGTTTAACCATATACATGTTGTCTGATAAGGGTGGGTGGGTAACAGAGTAGCGAGACGGCAAGCAGGTAGGTTGATAGGCTTAAAGACAGGTAGGGAATGAGGTAGGTGGGTAGTAGGTGCTGTCAGACTCTGAACATTCTAATTAGTGAGGGTAGGTTCTATGTGCAGACTCATGTAAGTGCAAACTCGAGTTACAAACTGAAATGTGTCTTTCTCACCAACAGCTTTCCAAACTTGTCACGTTGGCGACACACTTTTTAGACATATATAATTTTGCGACATTCTACAGCAAACCAGAGGTTTGCAAAACCACACATTTGCCGATTAGTCTGTTTAATGTGCTGAATTCACATGACAAACTTTCACACTGCAGCCAACATTCTAATTTGTTGTGACACAGTTTGGAAAGCTCTGGTCTCAATGGTAAAGACTGAATTTAAGACTAATAACAAAAATAAATAAAACACCAATAAATTATAAAAAGAATTATTTAAATACTTTTGAATTAGGATAATAACTCAAATAGGCTCAACATTAGTGAAGCAGGCAATGTTAGTTGCAAATACAACAAAGAAATAACAGAAGTCAGAGATGCCGCTGCACCAATGTTACGAACAAGATTATATGAGTCTTTTATACAGTTGTATCACTTGCCATATTTCTGTGATGGCTTCCTGCAAACTAGACTTCACCCTGACAAGAGCAGCAAGATGAGATGAGAAACTCAATACGATGAGGTGGAACGACAACAACAAGAGTGCGATGTGTAAGCAAAAATAGGAAAAGCACAAAAGATACTAACCTGCCATAAACATATTCAATAGGCTTGGGTTTTTCCTTCTCAATGTGGTGCAGTAATGGTGTAAAGATTCTCCAGGCTTCATAAAGCTCATCAGACCGAACAAAGTGAATTTGGGAGCCCATAAACACATCCAAAATGAGACGCTCATATGCATCTGGCATATTTATATCCTTAAAAAAAAATAGATTTCAGAGATATACTGTGACATATAATTTTCTGTTCAGTTTAATTAGGCAAAGTTTCAATTAGTTTTTTTTAAAAACAAATTAAGTATGGTTTTTTAACTAATACAACACACACATTTCCAGTCAAGTAAAACCTTCTTCTTCTCTTCTTCATCTTTCATTTATCTTCCCAATGGAACACAGGCCTCAACCAACTCAAAGGAAGCCGCCCTATCTTTTGATATTCTCTAAAAGCCACATCCACATTGTATTTTGTTCACTTATATTTCTTATTCTCAACTCCACGTGTTGTTAGGGCTTCATCTAGTTCTATCACCATGTGGGTCCTGGTGAGGAGATCTTCTAGCACTATTATCATGTTTTCTCAGTGTGCCCTATCCAGTGCCAGTGTCTTTTCCTCACCTCTTATTCTGTTGGACTTTGTTTAATTCTCTCCACATCTTGCATTCACGAAAAGCATGTATCAATCCACGTGCTTATACCTTTCTATGCCAAGACAAAAGGCAAGAAACAATCGTCTCTTGGTGTCTTCCTCCCTCCCTTTCCCCACATTTCCCCCAACAGTACTGTTACATACTAGGTTTTCTCTTCTCATTATATGTCCCCCAAAATTACAACTGCTTCTTTCTGATGAGTTTTTGTGTGTCTGAGCTTCTTGGAATGTGTTTAGATTACTCAGTATGGCTAGCCAAAACAAACAAGTAAAACACCCATATACACAAAAAAGGTAACTAACACTCCCCAAAAATTACTTCAAATACATAGTGACATTATATGACCAAAACAAGTAATATATTACAAAAGTTATTGTGGAAGCTGCCTTATCATAGTCATTGGATGCCCGCTTGCTGGCCCAAAGGTCTACAGTTCAGATCTGCATAGGGGCAGATATGTTTCTAAAAATTAGCCTTGGCTCCCAGGTTGACCCAGCCTATAATGTAATGGGTACCAGTTAATATCCTAGAAAGTAAAGGCAGCCAGCTTGATGAGGACATCGCCCATTCAGATGACTTCTTCTTCTTCAGCATTCCGAGCCCTTGAGGTTAATTGCTGCAGATATCACCCACCTCCACTCATCTCTCTGGTTAACCTTTTTCAGCATTCCGAGCTCTTGAAGTTCATTGCTGCAGATATCACCCACCTCCACTTATCTCTCTGGTTGGCCTTCTTCAGCATTCCGAGCCCTTGAGGTTCATTGCTGCAGATATCATCCGCCTTCACTCATCTCTCTGGTTGGCCTTCTCTTTCCAATTGGTGACACCAAGTGTTTGGACATTATCTCTCCATGTTCTTCTTGGTCTGCCCATTGAGATGACTGGTCTCTACAACGCTAAAGGCATAGAAACGAGTCCTTAACTAAAACAAATGTTTTTCTTTTCAAACATAATGCCATGATACTGACCTTATACCTGCTGCAGTAAGTCAGATCTAGCTCGCTCTCCTCACAGTTCAGGCTCATGCCTGGCGTTTTGGCCATCATTTTCAGATAGATGGCCTCACTTGGCTGCACCCGAATAACCAGTTCGTTACGCTTGACCTCTCCTGCAGGAAAAATATCCCCGGCCACATCTCTGAACTGTACTCTTACTTCTGCCTTGCGCTCATTCAGTGCTGTAAAAGAATAAATGCAATTTGATAACAATAATGGACATACTAAATATTTCCTTTTTTTAGGAGATTATCAATCTCTTTAAGTTGTATTTCACTAAACGTAATAGATTATAGTCTGGATATTTTCCAATGGTCTGAAAAGACAAGTGAAAGCTGAGCAAGAAGACTCAATTTCCTAAACAAGAAATAAGCGTGGGTCAAGCAGTCCAGATAATTATCTCCCATCAGAAACTGCACACTTTCATCTCTGATTTGGCCAAAGAGAATTGTACTAATCAAACAAGAAGTTTCCCTGTGTGGGTTCCAGGCCCCCGGGGTGGGGTGAGGGGAAGGGAGAGTAGAGGTACTGCTCCCCAACAAGCATGTCATACAAGGTGACTAATTAGGGATGTTTCCTTTGGAGTCGGAGTGCATCTGCTTGAAAGGGAAGAAACCAACAGTCTGCATACAAATAAGCCAAATCTATTGCATGGATGCAGATGCAAAACTCAAGTTCTCAAAAAAAGAACCAAAGTCCAGAAGTGGATGAACAACCAGAATTTGCCGCTAGAGTTTACAGATGTGAATGCTAAAAAGAGAAGAAAAAGAGAACAAATATCTGATCAGGTGTTACTGAGGCCTGTAAGAAAGGCAAAGAGGCGTAACAGTACAACCAACCATGCATGTCAAAGGCATGATTAAGAGTGAGACTGAACACCTCATCTGGCAAAACACTTTGCTGCAAAATCTTAAGGTCAGAAATATGTCTACAGGAGGCTTGATCAAAGTTGGTTGACAACCTAGGCTTACAAGACAATGAAAGGCAAAATAAAAAAAAGGGGGAAGAGAAATTAAAACTCCAGCATGCATCAACCAACGAAATCTCAGCCCTCAGGAAGTTAGTTGTACATTCTTTACACGATGTTGCAGAACCAACCCCAGCCTTTATTAGCTGTTTACGATTTCATGAAGCAACAAGCCTTCCAACCAGTGGGGGAAAAAACCCCCAGCATTTATTAGCTGTTTACGATTTCATGAAGCAACAAGCCTTCCAACCAGTGGGGGAAAAAAACCCCAGCATTTATTAGCTGTTTACGATTTCATGAAGCAACAAGCCTTCCAACCAGTGGGGGAAAAAACCCCTGATTAGTCCCAGGTCAATTTAGAAGCTCACACAAGTAAATTAAATGCATAAGACAGCCAGTGAAGAAGAAGAAGAGATTTTATCTCTTCAGAAGAGCTGCTGCAAAAACTTCTGAGACTGAAAAAAGTAAATAAACAGCTGTTCAAAATGAACTCACTATTTCTGAAAATATAACAATGTAAACAACATAAACAGCGTATTTCTGGTCATTTATAACTGTACATACCTTTACCACACCTCAGAATAAAAGGTACACCGTCCCATCGTTCATTCTTCACGAACAGTGCAACAGTTGCAAATGTTGGTGTCACAGATCCTGTAAATTATTGAAAAGAAAAAAGCATACTATAAAAACTATTTTAATTACTTCTTTATCAAATAATTACTTCTTTATCAAATAGTTTAAGTTAGTTGCATATCCTTACAGGAATTGCAGAATTAACCTCGGCTGTTGTGATTTTTCTAGGCCAAATATTATGCTCAGTAGTTTGCCACTGCTTCTGAATGGTCAGCTCTCAGTACCACTGTCGAAACCAAAATAAAACATTCTTCTGTCAAATTACCTGCAGCTGAGATAAAACCCGGCACTCTGGCATTACGACATGCATTCAGAACGCCTAAGCCACAAACACCAACATGTCAAATAACACATCATGAACAAACAAACAAAAACTATTTCCTTTGTCCAGCTACTAAGCTGCGTTTCTGGTGCGACAGCAAAGAGATTTCATGTGGAATGTTTTTATCTTCCGTGCCTGCAGCAGTTTTGTGTAGTGGATTGCAGTGAAAATGTAAGTGGCTGGTTAAATCAGGACAGGCATGTACTTTATGCAGTCCTGCATGTGCAAATGCCAGCTTCTCATGACTTGACTGCTTCCATCAACAATGAGCAGCAATTCTGGTGGGAGACTGTTAGTGTGGAAATCTCTAATAGCTGCCTTATGCATTCACTTTGCATGTGTTAACTTCTAGATTTAGTTGGGACTGATCTATTTTTCACCAGTTTTCAAAAGTTTTTCAAATGGGACAATGAAGGGTATTCTGTCTGGTTTCCATTAGCATGGGTACCAAGAAATTATGGAGTCATCCATCTGCCATGAAGTTGGAACCTCGACTAACTATAAAAAAAATTTTTTTTCAAAAATTTCTTGACATGTTCTACACTTATTAGCCAATGCAACATCACCAGATTATGTCGAAAACAGGTTCTGTCAACTATTTCTAACTTCAAGACTTAGAAATGCTAAACATTTGATTGAAGAAAATAGGACTAGAAAAGAACAAAATGTCAAATGCTCATAGATTCCTAAAACAAAATCAAACTGCAACTGGGATCCAGTGCAAGGATGCTGTAGTTATAATAAATTTTGTTGTCAACTCTTTCTGTCCTAAACAACGCACACTATGTGATGTACCGATCATCATGTTATTTATGTTTTAACATCTTATGTTTACTGAAGGATTCTCAAGAACTATGAAAACATATGTTTCTTGCCAGGTGTGTAAATCTGGCCCCTCTGGAAGTAGTATACCCATGAAGTCAGTATTGCCATTCTTAACTCTCTCTGACATTGTTTGCCAAGAACTTGTGAGACTGAAAGAGTTAAATGTGTGTCTTATTCAGCACCAGCATTGTGTCTTCACCTCATGAATCACCAGAAATTGTTTGGTTATTTGCGATTCGGACAAATCATTAAAACTTTGTTTTCTATTTTTCTGCTTCATGCAGAACTTTAGATTTGAATATGAAGCTGGTAACAGATTTAATTTGTTTTGACTTATACAGATTTCTTAGTGCTATGATAACTCTCATAACTTTTTATATTATTATTATTACCCCCCCCCCCCCCCCCACCCGCCCTCAACACCAATGATTAAGACACTTTTCTGGGTTATCTTGTGGTCTTTGCCTGCTATTTTGCAATGTTTGAAGCTTTTAAGTTTTATAAGTTTTCTCACCTGCTAGCTGTAAAAATTGATAACTAAGGAATTCAACAAAAAGAGAATTAACATATCTGGTTACCTTTTGGCACTGTAGGATCATCCAGATAACCCAGTTTGGCATCCCCTGATCCTTGTGGGTCCCCTACATACTGACCCAAGACAACATTATTCATGCTGGGCGGAGAAACACTTTTTAGTACTTTGACCTGCAGAAATAAAATAACATTGAGGGAAATATAATGTTTCAGCTATAAAACAAGATCAAATCCAAACAGCACTGGCTACAGTGAGGTAAACCACACAGGGATAGATAAACAAAACAGCAGCAACAACAAACATCTTGTAACAGCAGCAACAACAAACATCTTGTACACTGCTCACATGAAAGGCTTTGTCTGGCTCTTTCTTTTAAACCTGACACTGAGAATAATAAAATGGAAAATGAAAAGAAGAAGAAAAAGAATTCAGAAGACAAAAACACATATCAGCATTTAAAAAAAAAAAAAAAAGACAAACATACAGGTATTTTGCCAATGACAACTGTTAACAGTATTTAAAAAGATTGATGCAAGTTCTAGCTGGTTTGGTTATAATTCATTCAGATGTTTTATCTTCAGGAACTTTTCTAGGTTCCTTGGCAATGGAGAAGCGTGTAGCAAAGAATAAGTTGGATTAATTTTTAATATAATTTGGACAGCCAAAGTGGTGCTGTAACTGTCACGTATTTAAATTCTCATTAAGATGGAAATTTAAAACAGACCTGGACTCCCAGGTCGACCACACCTAAACTGGGTAGCTGGAATTATACTGACCACACCACCCATCAAGGGTCAATTAGTCTATAACAATATGGGTTTGAAAACATGTCCAACAAACCTCGAGGCAACAACAACAACAACAAATTCTTTACACTTACTGATAAAGAAACAATACTATTCTATTCCCGAGGTCCTCCTGTGGGATGATAGTGACAGTTGAAAGAACATAGTCCTAACAGCTGTTTGGAATTCAGAACTAAGTTTGGTAACAAGCACTAGGGAAGAATTATGTGCTTCCTCTATATCAATGGTGTCCAGTTAGCTTAGACTTGGAAACTCTATTTTTAAGATTTCCTTTAGACCTCACTGCAGCGTCCCTGGCGTAGGCATTGTGAGCCCGACTCGTAATTCCAACATACCGCGATCGAAACACGGCTGGCTGCGTGGATTTTTATCATGGTATTGGGCGTCGCAGGTCGACCCAGCCTAAAATAGCTACCAGGATGGCTGTCCTGGGTAAGTAAAGACGGCCAGCGAAATGCTGACCCCATTACCAACCTAGTGCTGATGGTCTGTAAAAATATGGGTGCTCTTCCTATACGCCTAAGAGGCGTGAAAAGGGATCTTTACTGACCTCATTACTGCTTAACAATCACATCAAAGAACTGTTTTAAATTGATAAATATTAGAATTGCAAAAACAATAGCATTATAAAGCTAAAAGTATGTTCTGTCAACTTGTCAAAACTGGAAACTGAATTTGCGTATTCTTCTACGATCCTTCAGTCAGAAAAACCTTACATCAGGAGGCCAGTAGACTGAATGAAAACTACTGTACAATCTAAATCTCCCTGGTGCCATACAGGTTTGTTCTGTTCTCAGTGTTTGAAATACCACTAAGTGTTTGAAATACCACTCAATGTTTGAAATACCACTCAGTGTTTGAAATACCACTCAGTGTTTGAAATACCACTGCGTGTTTGAAATACCACTAAGTGTTTAAAATACCACTTAGTGTTTGAAATACCCCCCCCCCCCCCCCAAAAAAAAAAAAAAAAAAACCACTTGAACACATCTTGCCAAAGTTTGTGGTGCCTTGTCCTTAAGTCTGAATATGCTGCATGGACCCTCTCTTAAGAGGGGATGAAACAAGTCTCAGGGAGAAAATGTGGAGTGGATGGATGTCCAGCCACCTTTCATGGACACCAGTTTATATTAATGACCTAGCCCCCTGGTGGGTTAAGTCACCCTCTGAAACCTCCAATGTGATGGTAATCAATCACATCAGCCACTAGGCCAAGACAATAGCCAAAATGTAAATAAACATGAACAATTAAATAAATGACATGTACAAATAGCAGTACCTTTTCATTTCTGATGTCCTCAGCTTGTGTTGTGGGTGGCTTCTCCATTGCCACGAGTGTTAAAATCTGCAAGAGGTGATTCTGCATCACGTCCCTAAACAAAGACATGATTAAATTATGAAGCCCCAACAGTGATTCACATAAAGAAAGCAAAAAGAGGAAAGATATCTGTGCAATAATGAAACGTTTGTTTGTAAATGAATAGCTTACTACACATAAAATAACCAACCATATATGTATGTGTGTCCATATATATATATATAAATATATAAATATATATATATATATATATATATATATATATATATATATATATATATATATATATATATATATATATATATATATATATATATGTGTGTGTGTGTGTGTGTATATATGTGTGTGTTTTCTGGCTAGTAATGAATTCAGATAACTCAAGTGATTGGGTCAAATTAAGATAACTGTAAATGATTTGGTCATAAGAGCAACTGTTCAATGTGCAGTCATTTGCTTGGATTACAATGATTGAAGATAATGAATTAATTATATGTACAGTTCATTAAAGAGCAACAGACAAGATGTGGACATTTTATTAGATTGCCTGGCACCAAATGCCACAGACAGTCACACTGAAGAAATACAGAAATACAATAAACAGGGCAAGGGGAAGATTATTCAAAAGATGGAAAAAACAACATCAAAAATAATAGGGTAAAAAAAATGATGATCAAAGTTGTAAAAAGTGAACAAAAGAGCTTCCCCCCTCCTTAAACACTTTGATAACCTGAGGAAGAGAAAAACAAAAAGAGAAGTAGGTGATTAAGTGATTTCTTTGGATTACAAGGAATAAAGATAAGTAGACGTAATGTGGTCTGTAGGGAGTTACAGGTCCAGGTTTGTTTTTTATTTCTTTGCATTCACCCTTACGAGAGCATATTTTTGTGGTTTACAACTAGACTATTATCTTCTGGGTCCCCTACATACCGACCTAAGACAACAGATTTAATTTGTTTTGACTTCTACGGATTTCCTAGTGCTATGACAGCACTTTTAACTTTTTATATTACTATTATCCTCCTCTCCCCTCCCCCTGTGATAAGGTGCTTTGCATGGTCTCCACGCGTACAAAGTGGCAGGCAGACAGTCAGTGCAAGAAGCAAATGCACAAGATACTTGGGGCTGGTCGACTAAGCCAGGGAAAGCACGAGCTGGACTCGTGGTCAGTTGCTTACCAGAAGTCGTAGAAGACAGATGTAATTCTAATGTCGTGTGAACGACCAGTGTTATAATAGGTCGGAAGCGATGGAAGTGTGAATAATTGTTGGAGCATATTGAATAAATGCAACAGAATAAACTGACAGCATGTACTAAGAAACTAAGCGGCGTTTGTGTTATATGTCCTAGACAGTAGAAGCAGTGCGAGTAGCAGCAATACCACACCCCCTTTTCTACCTCATGCTTAAGGCACCTTTCTGGGTTATCTTATGGAACTGGCCTGCCATTCTGCAATGTTGGAAGCTTTCAAGTTCTCTCTCCTACTATTTGTCATGATTCATAATTAAACAATTATGTTTCTGCATAATTGTCTGCACTTGCTCCTTTTTATCCAACACATCAGATCTCAGAATCTCCTTAGTTAGTCACCTTTTACAATATGCTCCCCACTAAAAACAAAAAAGGTAGAGCTCAAGAACCTAATAGTAGGACAGCTCATTACATAATTTAATTAAATTACAATAAGATAAAGTCATTTAGTCAAGCAAATGTGAAGCTTTAATTGTTGAACAGGCTGTTTAACATTGTTAACAAACAAGAAGCTCTTTCACTGTTAAACAAACTGTGTAAGTGTTAGTTAACAAGAAGCTTTTTAATTGTTGATCAAACTGTGTAAGTGATAGTTAACAAGAAGCTTTTTAATTGTTAAACAAACTGTGTAAGTGTTAGTTAACAAGAAGCTTTTTAATTGTTGATCAAACTGTGTAAGTGATAGTTAACAAGAAGCTTTTCAATTGTTGATCAAACTGTGTAAGTGATAGTTAACAAGAAGCTTTTCAATTGTTAAACAAACTGTGTAAGTGATAGTTAACAAGAAGCTTTTCAATTGTTAAACAAACTGTGTAAGTGATAGTTAACAAGAAGCTTTTCAATTGTTAATCAAACTGTGTAAGTGTTAGTTAACAAGAAGCTTTTCAATTGTTGATCAAACTGTGTAAGTGATAGTTAACAAGAAGCTTTTTAATTGTTGATCAAACTGTGTAAGTGATAGTTAACAAGAAGCTTTTCAATTGTTGATCAAACTGTGTAAGTGTTAGTTAACAAGAAGCTTTTTAATTGTTGATCAAACTGTGTAAGTGCTAGTTAACAAGAAGCTTTTTAATTGTTGATCAAACTGTGTAAGTGATAGTTAACAAGAAGCTTTTTAATTGTTGATCAAACTGTGTAAGTGTTAGTTAACAAGAAGCTTTTTAATTGTTGATCAAACTGTGTAAGTGATAGTTAACAAGAAGCTTTTTAATTGTTGATCAAACTGTGTAAGTGTTAGTTAACAAGAAGCTTTTTAATTGTTGATCAAACTGTGTAAGTGTTAGTTAACAAGAAGCTTTTCAATTGTTGATCAAACTGTGTAAGTGTTAGTTAACAAGAAGCTTTTTAATTGTTAAACTGTGTAAGTGTTAGTTAACAAGAAGCTTTTTAATTGTTAAACTGTGTAAGTGATAGTTTACAAGAAGCTTTTTAATTGTTGATCAAACTGTGTAAGTGTTAGTTAACAAGAAGCTTTTTAATTGTTAAACTGTGTAAGTGATAGTTAACAAGAAGCTTTTTAATTGTTGATCAAACTGTGTAAGTGTTAGTTAACAAGAAGCTTTTTAATTGTTAAACTGTGTAAGTGTTAGTTAACAAGAAGCTTTTTAATTGTTAAACTGTGTAAGTGATAGTTAACAAGAAGCTTTTTAATTGTTGATCAAACTGTGTAAGTGTTAGTTAACAAGAAGCTTTTTAATTGTTGATCAAACTGTGTAAGTGATAGTTAACAAGAAGCTTTTTAATTGTTAAACTGTGTAAGTGTTAGTTAACAAGAAGCTTTTTAATTGTTGATCAAACTGTGTAAGTGTTAGTTAACAAGAAGCTTTTTAATTGTTGATCAAACTGTGTAAGTGTTAGTTAACAAGAAGCTTTTCAATTGTTGATCAAACTGTGTAAGTGTTAGTTAACAAGAAGCTTTTTAATTGTTAAACTGTGTAAGTGATAGTTAACAAGAAGCTTTTTAATTGTTAAACTGTGTAAGTGTTAGTTAACAAGAAGCTTTTTAATTGTTGATCAAACTGTGTAAGTGTTAGTTAACAAGAAGCTTTTTAATTGTTAAACTAACTGTGTAAGTGATAGTTAACAAGAAGCTTTTCAATTGTTGATCAAACTGTGTAAGTGTTAGTTAACAAGAAGCTTTTTAATTGTTGATCAAACTGTGTAAGTGTTAGTTAACAAGAAGCTTTTCAATTGTTAAACAAACTGTGTAAGTGATAGTTAACAAGAAGCTTTTCAATTGTTAAACAAACTGTGTAAGTGATAGTTAACAAGAAGCTTTTCAATTGTTAAACAAACTGTGTAAGTGTTAGTTAACAAGAAGCTTTTCAATTGTTAAACAAACTGTGTAAGTGATAGTTAACAAGAAGCTTTTCAATTGTTAAACAAACTGTGTAAGTGTTAGTTAACAAGAAGCTTTTTAATTGTTAAACAAACTGTTTGAAGTGTTAACAAACAAAGAGTATGACTGGTTTACCTGAGTATGCCAAATTCATCAAAATAGCCACCTCTGCCCTGAGTACCAAATGGTTCCTTAAATGAGATCACAATGCTAGCAATGTTGTCACGGTTCCAGATCGGACTAAAGATTCGGTTTCCAAACCTGTATTAGCAAAAGTAAAATTATATATGCACACTGTAAATTTCAGTAAGACTGAAGAAATCAAAAGCATCATTAATTACCCTGTCATTGAAGTCTAAAAGCAGCATGACTAGCAACTACCCTGCCCTGTGATATTAAAATCCCCACCAGCATCATTAACTATCCAACCATATAAGTACAAATCAGTCAGTCATCATCATCATCATCAGTCCATTTGAGACTAAAATCCTCAACAACATCTTTCTTAGAAACTATTAGTGAAAAAAAAAAAAGGGGGGGGGGGGGGGGGGTGCAGAAATCTGGGAATTCCCCAAAAATCCATTCTTTTTAAACAGGACCCCCCCCCCCCCCCCCTCCCCCCCCCCCCCATCCCTCTTCCATACCTTCCTCACCAACAAACACTGTGCAGACACAAACAGAGCCAATACCATTAACTAGGCTTGTCTGGGACTAGCCAATGCAGCAAAGCTGATATAAAGGCTTCACTGGAATTTGTAACAGACAGAAAAGCTGAAATATGGATTTTCTGGGGCAAAAGGGCTCATTAGTAAGTGCCTTGCCACTTCAGACTAAATTTGTCATCATCATCTTTAAGTACCTAGCCATCTTAGATGAAAATCATCATATCATCATCCTTATCAGTAACATGGTAAATGTGAACAAAAACACAACCGGCATCATTAAGTAATTTGCCAGATAAAGAGTGGTAAATTTTCTCCACAGATCTCACTTTTAAAGCTATATCTGGTTTTCTTTTTCTTCTTTTTTTTTTAGCATTCACTGGCAGTCAACTCCAGCGGAAAGTTCTGGTTGTTCATCCAACTCTGGATTTTGGTCTTGTTCCAGGCCTTGAGTTTTATGTGCACATCTGTTTTACAGATCTGGCTTATTTATATACAGATTGTAGGTTCCTTGCCTCTCATGCAGCTGCAATCCTTTAAAGAAACCCCCCCCCCCCCCCCACAATTAGTTGTCTACTATGACAAGCTTGTTTGGGGTAGTGGGTCTATTCTTTCTTCTCCAAAATGGAGTCTTAGAGCCCAAATGGGAAACATTTCACACCAATTTTACATGCTTGCATCTAAAAATACGGGGGGAAGTCAACAATGACCAAGGCTTTAGACATATCTCTTCTTACATTGTCCACACTGTCTTCTGTCTTGTTCATTTTATTGTTATAATGTTGTGGTAATGCCATGAAAGTTGGATCATAATTCCGTAAGTTTTCTTCCTTCTGTTGCATATAGATCATGGCTGCTCCTTTAGAAGTTTGCACCAAACAGAATCAATGAGCAATGATATAATTCCGATAATCAGAGAGTGTCAAAGGTTGCGAAATTTATCGCTGACTCACATAGACAAAAACGGGAGAAGTGCACTATCGTGTAAAACTATTTTTTGTGGACTGAGATTTTTAACAGTGGTGAACTAGTGTAACGCATGTAGAGGGAGCAGGACAGCCATTAACCTCCACCATTGATGACAACATTCAGCAAGTTCAAAAGGTGATTCTGGCAAAAAAGACAAATTACCATCAATGAGGCAGCGTCTGCGTCAAATATTAGTCATGATTCTGCCAATCAAATCACCCATGACGAGCTCGGCTTTCATAACGTCTGCGGAGCACGGTGGGTACCTAGAAAGCTTACTGCAAAACACAAGCTCACTCGTGCAAAACCGAAAACCTTTTATTTGGAAGGAATACGTAAGCTTGTTGACCTTTGGGCAAAGTGCATTGATAAAGAGGGAGATTAGGTAAAAAATTATGTGCATAGTGAAACCTTAGGGTTCATGCAAATAAACTTAGAATGAAAATTGTAGATAATTTCTGAGTCTCCCTCGTATAACTATACCCTGAGGTGAGAACACTAAAAGGACTTTATAAAGTGACAAGTTTTAACTTACCTCAAAACCATGAGGTTCTGTACCATCTCCTTTCCTAGGTAGTGATCGATTCTATACAGTTCCTCTTCCTTAAATAAAGCCCCGAGATGACCAGACAGTCTATTAGAACTCTCAAGATCCTTTCCAAAAGGTTTTTCAACAACTATTCTTGTCCATTTATCACTGGAAATTAGACCAAAAGCTGGGAATGTAATCTAAAACAATTAATTTTTCTGTAATAAATGAATGAATGGATCAAGAATAGACATCACTGCACTCGGGACATTCCCACATGTGCTCCGTCCCCTTCTTTAGTAACCAACAATGAGCTGAGTTGTTGGGTCAAGAACTGACATCACATCACTCAGGGCATTTCCATGCACGCTCAGTCCTAATCTTCAGCAGCCAGCGCAGAGTTCCAATACTAATGGTACCGGTTGTAATCTGGTTATGTCTGTCTTGCCTTTCCTCTGAGTGTAGTGAGTCAGCCAGACCCTCTGGTTACACCCAGGTGCATCATTCTCTCCAGGCCATAATAATCTTGTTTCTTTTCTGACTTCGCTACATGTTCCCAAAGGGCCTTGACCAACCAACAACGAGTTGATATGCTAATAGTACCAGTTGCAATCTGAGGCTTCCAATCAAAATGGATGATAGGCATGGTCACTGTTTCTAGTGGAAAAATTTTTGTTTCTGACGGATTGTGGTCGTGACATTTTCCTCCATTTGAGACTGAAAGGATATAGTTTTGTTGCCCAGCCATTGAGCTAAGTGCATGGTGTGACACTGAGCTGTAAATTTCATTTGGAAGGTGTTTTCCAACTGCGACTAGCGTGGTGTTGTGAACTGTTTCCAAATAATAGGTGGTGCCTTATGTGATTAAAACTGATTGCATGTGCAACTGCTGATCTGTCTGTAACTGCTGCTTCCGTCGCTGATGAGCTGCATTTTTAATGTTGGATTGTTTGTGTTAGCACCTCTGATGGCTGCCTTATGATTTTAATGTATATGCTGAGACTGCAGTCTGTGTCAGTTTTCCACAAGGGACAGTGATGGACATTGTGTGTGTGTTTTTCATTGGCGCAGGAGCGGAGCGGCTATGGGGTGACCCACTTGTTATGAAGCTGAAGCTAAGAATACCAGATTGCAACCTGATTAAAAGTCCACTTCTGTTTGTTCCCCGTTGAATGTTGAAAATCTCCCCCCCCCCCCAATGTGTTTTTTTCTTCAATCACTTGTGAGACAAGAACATAGATAGCCAAGACACATAACAAAAAAGAGTTAATATCTTCTTCAAAGAAATAAATCACAGTTAGAAAACAAAAGATTTTTTTTTAAATATTCTTTTAAATACAAAAGAAACATGCAGAACTGCTCAATATAATCTTCTTCTTTTTCAGCATTCCCAGCACTTGAGGTTCATTGCTGCAGATATCTCCTGCCTCCATTCATTTATGTGACTGGCCTTCTCTTTCCAGATGGTGTGTTCATTGTGTGTGTGTTTTTCATTGGCGCAGGAGCGGAGCGGCTATGGGGTGACCCACTTGTTATGAAGCTGAAGCTAAGAATACCAGATTGCAACCTGATTAAAAGTCCACTTCTGTTTGTTCCCCGTTGAATGTTGAAAATCTCCCCCCCCCCCCCCCCCCCCCCCCCCCCCCCCCAATGTGTTTTTTTCTTCAATCACTTGTGAGACAAGAACATAGATAGCCAAGACACATAACAAAAAAGAGTTAATATCTTCTTCAAAGAAATAAATCACAGTTAGAAAACAAAAGATTTTTTTTTAAATATTCTTTTAAATACAAAAGAAACATGCAGAACTGCTCAATATAATCTTCTTCTTTTTCAGCATTCCCAGCACTTGAGGTTCATTGCTGCAGATATCTCCTGCCTCCATTCATTTATGTGACTGGCCTTCTCTTTCCAGATGGTGAAAGAGTTTGTAGGTCTGTTGTATATTATTTACCCACTGTCTTCCTGCTCAATAAAATCACAGTTCACAAAGTTCAAATATTATTCACCATCATTGTTTACAGAAGTCCACTCTACACTCTTTTTACTGCTTCAAAGACTAGATATTATGTTTCTTACATCCTTCTTAGGACGTTATTTTTTGTTATTTGAAGCCCCACTCTGGCTTTTGCCAGGGGCCGCAATATAGGCAGGTCATCATTATGACCAAATGTCTGAACGCGGTTTCTGGGACCTCTCCACGGTGATCCTCATCCGCATAGTGACACTTTGTGTCATCGGGTGTTTATCGCTTGTGTGATGTCCTGGTGGGGTAAAAAGCCAATCCAATCCAAAGACTAGATCTTTGATCATTGTTAATTTAAAGATCCTCTTTATCAGACATTACAAGTGCTCCGATCTCCTTTCGGGTGTGTCTCCAAAGTGATTTTAGGCTAACTACTCCCATTCTGTTCTGGTTGATCTAACAACCTGTGGCTCCCACATGGTTTTCTTGTCTCACGGTTCCAACTGGTTCACCCAGAGTATGCAGTCTATTCAGTGAAAATTCCTTTTCCATGAAACTGAAAGCCTCACAGCGTTTAGTCTCTAATATTTTTTCTAGTTTTCTAATGGTGTTTTGCATAATGATAATTTGGTAGCTGCTTACAGAAGATCTTTCTTTGCCAGGCAAAGATACTGAGTAACTTTGAAGCCATGTTTCATTTACTGTGCCTGTCCTTATGCTTCTGTAGTTTTCACTACACAGTTCTGATAGTTCCTCATCTGTTAGTTTAGGAAAGTTTTCATATCAGACTCTGTCTAGATCCAGTGCTGTTTTAAAAAATTTTTTTCACCCTCTAGATCTTTTGTCAGTTCTGCGTTGTTTTGACTGAGGTATCTCTGGAGCAGTCCAGTACTATCTGTACCCTATATTTTGGACACGCTTCAATCTTGGACTGCTTTTTAAACTTTATGAGTACAACCAGTCCATAATCAATAACGGCCAGGACCATATCATGGTATAGGAAGGATAACAGTCTCTGATCCAGGGGAGTGACTGCCATACAGAGCTAACAAACATGGCTTGCCTTTGCGTACAGTTATCAACACTGTATTTGTATGAGGGGCAGTGGTCAAAGGTTACCCTAACTGACAGACTG